TATAGAAATAAAAATTTTTAATAATAAGGGACATTTGAATTATGTCCTCACAAATAATTTAGGGACCCATCTTTAGAAGTCACCATAGATTTTATCATCCAACTGCCTCTCACCAAGAAGGGACATGATACCATTGTGGTATTCATTAACCGCCTATCCAAGAGAGCTCACTTTTGTCCAATGCATACCTCTGTCACTGCACCAGAAGTCGCCAAGATCTTTTTCTCTGAAATCTTCAAACATCATGGATTACAAGAGCCATTGTATCAGATAGAGATGCTCGATTTACCAGCCATTTTTGGCAAGCCCTGTTTCAACAACTGGGTACAAAAACCGCCATGTCAACAGCATTTCATCTCCAAACAAATGGATAGATAGAATGTCTTAACAAAACCTTGAAAGAAATGCTACGCATATATGCCACCTACAAGCAAGACCAATGGGATGAGTACTTGCCTGCTGCCGAGTTCACATACAACAATGCCAAGCAAGCATCAACAGGTTTTACACCATTTGAGTTAGATTGTGAACAATACTCCAAGATGCCCTTGACACTTATAACATCAACTTCTGTACCGACTGCCAATGACTTCATGCATTACTGGAACACCATGATAAAGATTGCCAAAGATATCCTGATAGAAGCACAAAACTGTCAAACAAAGTATGCCAATCAACATCAATGCCACCTGATGTTTCAAGAAGGAGACCAAGTATTACTATCCCTGTGAAACTTTAACAACCTTGTGGATCAGAACCATCCTATCAAGAAGTTGACACCAAGATTTGCTGGACCCTACACCATCATCAAGATTATCTCAGAAACTGCCTACAAGTTGGAGCTGCCTGCCACCTTAAAGATTCACCCTATATTTCATGTTTCATTACTCAAGCCATATAAACCATCACCAGAAGAATTTGAAAGACCAACGTCACCACTAGCCACCTACATCCCTGCAACCAGAACAGAAGAGTATGAAGTAGAAGCCATCCTGGACAAGCGAGTTGTTCGAAACAAGCCCCAATATCTCATCAGATAAACTGGATATCCCTTACATAATGCCACTTGGGAACCTCAAGAAAATCTAATCAACACCCCAGAAAAACTCCAAAAATTTGAGTCGATGAGGATGTCGAATTCTAAGGAGGGGAGAATGTAACAATACTGACTGCGACTGCACCATGGGACCCCTACTGCACCCTGTGAACCAGACGCCCCGAAAGATATTTGATCTGCCCCTGATGACCTGCAAGTCTGAGACATATTTCCAGATGATTATCAGACGCATGTATGGTGTAATTCTGACCCCTGATGATGTGACATGCCACCAAGTGCCACTAATTAAATTACTATGAGTTAATGTAACCAAATTAGAAGCATAAGGCCATAGAGTGTACATATCTTTTTCCTTTTATTTCTTTCTATTTACTTTTTCATTTCATTATGTTAATTAAGTATATATGTCTCCAGAGGTTAAATCCAATATAGATATATATATTTTTATATTTATTTATTTATGTATTTTTATGTTGTATGAAGCCAACATGTATAAAAGGATACCCTTTTGACCTTAATAAAGTTCCAACTCTGTTAATGTTTAAAATTATAATCACTTAAGTTTACTGTTTTTTTAAATTACTAATAATTTATTCAAGACTCTTACAAATGAAAACATATTATTTGAAGCATTAAATAGACGTTTAGATACTATTGTTAATTATCAAGATATATATTTTATTAATGACAGGGGTACTCCTAGTAGTTATGTCAGTGATATATTATATGGGAATATGGAGTTTACTAGTAACATGTGTAGTAGCCAATCATTTGTAGATAGTTTATAAATGTTGTTTTAATATAAATAAAATAAATTACGTGTCTTGTTTTGTGTTACTTGATTTATATATAAATATATCTCCTGTTTGTTGATACCCCTGCAAAATCCTTATGGTTTATTATCCTATATACTGTTGTCGTAACTATAGACAGTATCGAAATTATCATTTACGATTTAATAAAAACTATCGGTATGATAATTATAAGCATAGTTATACTCGTTTATATTATCGAAAACATTTTAATTATCGTAGGCCATATTTTAATTGATATGTGAGAAGAACATATAGGAAAAGATTTAATCATAAAAGGTAAGTGTCATATTTGACTTACATGATAGGATTATATATAACTCTTTGTTGTGTTTTGATAATGTTTTTGCTATATAGTTAATCGTATATGATAATGATGTTAGTCCTTTTGATCAGACTGAATCATATGCTGTCCTATATGAACTTTTGGTTAATCTCTTACATGTTTGTCAAAAGATATTATCCTAGGAAACAATATTCGAAAAAGGGATATATTCATAAGGCTATTCTTGTTACGGGAGTTATTAATTCAAAGACTTTTGTCTCTCAGCCAGTTGTCAAGAATTATATAGTAGAATATCGATAGAATATTGATTCTGCACTTCATTTATTGCTTGTCACTAATGCTTGTGTTGATACTGCATATAAAGTGTATATAAAAGGATTCAAGATTAATTTGATCCTTGCTAGAAACTTTTCAATCTGGATTCCTCCTTCTTAATGTAATCAAGATCCAGAGCAGCTTTGGGATATGGTGATAAAGATACGTATAGCAATATTGTCATCTGCAGTTCCTTATATCAATTATCAAGTTGATGAAGTTTTTGATAAGGTTCTTGCTGGATGTGCAGATCATAATCCAATAAAGGGAAAGTTTAATCGTAAGATACATGTGATAAAAGATTTTACTTTGTTTTTTAATTTTAATCGAACATCATATATATATAATAAGTATATATCAGTCAATAGATATATCGATTATAAGATAGACCGAGGAAATACTGATTTGTATGTGATACATGCCACTCATTACTTTATGGTATTTGTATGTATTGAAGGGCCACCTGATATACTGTATATAGAATATAGAATGTCCAAGTTACAATATCAGAAATACAGTATACTATATACAGAGGTCTACCATAAATTTAGGGACACTTTTTTTTTTTAAATAATATAAAATTTAATAAATTAATAAATTTTAAAAATTTAAATATAATTTTAGTTTATTATAAGATGTGTCATATTTAAATTTCATATAATTTGACTCATTCATTTAAAATTTATTATGATATCAATTCTGATCTAATATTTTCTATAAAACTGAAAATATTTAAGTCTTTTTTTTTTAAAAAAAAAACATTTAATATTTTGTAGACCTCCTTTCAGCCATAATACAAGCAGTGATATGATTCGGCATACTAATAATTAAGTAACGGCATAACTCAGGTGGTATTTCACGCCACGCTTGCTGAATAAGATTATTGAGTTCATCGAGATTATTCGGTTTTGCCTTGCGACGGATGGAATTCTTGACCTCATGCCAAAGATTTTCTATAGGACTTAGATCTGGGCTCTAAGAAGGCCAATCCATCACCCTAATATTATTGTCTTCAAAAAATTGCTTAGTAATCTTGGCAGTGTGTGGTTTCGTATTGTCCTGTTGAAATAACGGACGACCACGATCTGCATTTCCTGAAAATTCATTTATAGTGGGTAAAATATACTTACGAAGAATTTCGATGTATGAAGCGCCAGTAACGGAAGAGCTTAATGGGATAAGGGGTCCAGGTCCATATCACGAAAAACAACCCCAATATATACAACCAGGACTATTACTAACAGTGCTTCTTAGACATTCAAAATCCCATTCCTTGTGCGATTCACGCCATACTCGACAAGTTGACCCTTGGAAAAGACGAAAGATATACTCGTCGGACCACAAAACGTGCTGAAAGTGTCGAACAGTTCAGTGCTCATAAGTATGACACCAGGCAAGTCTTTTTTCTATGTTTTTTGAGGTGATTAATGGCTTGGGACATGCAACGCAAGACTTTAAGTCTTCTTCGTGTAATACACGACGAATGGTGCTCCTTGAAACATGAATTTTTTTTTTAATAGTAAAAATATTGGTGACTTGAGTGAAGTTTAAACGATGATTTCCATTAGTTACAAGTTCCTTGAGGTTAGACCGATCGATAGAGGTAAGTAATTTCGGATGCCCAGAACATTTTATCCACGAATCCACAGATTCCATTTCACGAAACTTTTTAATAATGTTACTTACAGTGGTTTTTCCACAATTTATAAGATCGGTAATATGACGATACGAATCCTTTTTAAGGTAACCATAAATAATGGCACCTCTTTGGTCGGCTGTTAGCTCTTTATTCATACCCATTGTCGATTGGTTTAGAACGAAAAAGTGTAACTCACCGATCGGTTTGAGACAAAAAGTATGACCCACAGTTTTCATCAATTCTAAAAATTCATGTTATTTATATAGCTATTTTAAATATCGTGTAATGTTTATACAGGTTACATGTTATTTTGACAAAAATTTAGTCATGTTTTTAAAAAAAATAAAAAACTTTTATATATTGTATATTCTGTCCCTAAATTTATAGTAGGTCTTTGTATTATGATACACATGTTCGTCAAACTAATGATAATAATATTACACATGTTGGTGATGACCTTAATGATAATAATTCTGATGCTGATCATAATATGGAAGGAAATTTTGATTAAATAAAAAATAAATAAATAAATATTATTTGATTTGTGATATAAACGAAGTTACCCTTGACAAAGTAATTATATAAAATATGATATCTAGTATTGTTATTGAGTTACTACGTGGAAGTATCCTCTTTATGTAGAGTGTAAGCCAGTAAAAAGCCATACAACTGGTACAAATTAGATTAGCTGCCGGCTAGGCCATTGCAAAGCGAGATTATGTTGCTTTGTAGCAGGGTGGCACAGCCCCCTACTAGAGAAACTATGACATAATTTTTATATATACATTTAGTTTTAATATTATTATTACATCATCTCAAATAAGATGGGGTTGGGGGATCCATTATCGATGGATGGTCATATCATGTAACCCAGTATTACTTTTTAAAGCAAGCCTAGGAATTAATTTTACTTTTTAAAGCAAGCCTAGGAATTAATTATATTTTTTTTTACAAAACTTTTATTTTTATAAGATTGGATTACAGATTATTATTATTTATTTATCAGTGAGGAGAGAAGGATGGCATAGACTTTCTGCAGTTCAGCCACTGAATTGATAAATAAGAAATAATCTGTAGAATTTATTTCAAATTTTATAAAATAGTTAAATTAAATCTAATTATTTTTTTATAAAATATAATGTAAACATCTAACAAAAAATCCAATTTTCTCTGCAAAATCAAATAACAATCTTTAAAACAATATTAAAAAACTATAAGTATTTTGATGAGAAGAACATTTTTTATTAATAGCTTGAAAGATATTATCAACATAGCTTTCTCAATAATCAAGGATTTTGACCTCCAGCTGAAAAACATCAATTATTAGATTAAAACATATATCTGAAGTTACATGATATTTGCTGATCCTGAAACTCTGAAGTGACGCAAAACCTGAACTTATAGTAATTATTAATCTGAACATAATATATATAGAAATTATCAATTAACATGTGTTATTAATTATTGTTTGATATAAAAGAATTATAGAATATTATTAATATATTTGTTTAATATTGTATTTATTTATTATCTTATTTTATTTTTTTTTCTTTATTATTTATTAATTATGCATATGATCTTCTGGAAGAATCACTAAAATTATATATATATTATTCTTTATGTATTTTTATTCTTTCAAAAATAAATAGATTATTTAAATATTTATTTTTGAAAATAAGTTAATTATATTATTTAATTATGTAATTTAATACTCATTTAATAAATAATTTAATATTATTATTAATTTTTTTATTTTTTAAAAATTAATTTTCAATTTTAAAGATTTATAAAATCAAAAATATTTTATATTATTATTGGTTAACTTTCAATATTATTTTATATTTATTATATAATATATTGATGACATAAGTCTTATATTTAATACTTGTTAAAAATTAAAAATATATATATATATATATATATCAATGATATAAATTTGATTGATACCAATATTTTAAATATATTACTACATGAATTGTATTAGCAGCAAGACAAGTTCTATCTTGAGTAATTAATTACTTACATTTGAAAAAATTCTTTCAGCAAGTATATTTGTTGCTAAAATTGCTAAATAATCTTTTGCCATTTTACTTAAATTCAAATATTCATCTGAATATCGCTATAATAAAAATTATTAATATTTAATATATAAAAAATACAATAAATAAAATAGTTTACCTTTTACCAATTTAATGAATCAATAAGTGTCAAAGCTTATTCAGCTTTTAAAAATATTTCAATTTCACTTGTAATAAAATTTGATCATTTAAAAATATATGATATTAAATCTTTATCCTCAGAATCATAATTTATTACCATATTTTCAATTTTTTTAGGTACATATTTTTCACAATAAATTTTTAATACCTATAAAATAAACAATTTAAATAAATAAATTTCTTTTTTTTTTTTTTTTTTTTTTTTTAAGGTGCTAAGTGCGTATTGCCGCATGTGCTTTATTGATAAGTGCCTTATATCAATATTTTATACAGCTGAGGACTCATACAAGTCAATACATTTTGTATTCTATGCAGATTATCCCTGCACACCTCACCTTACTTCTGATACCCAGGTTTCTAAACCGCCTGTAACAGTTAACCTCAGCAATATCAGGAAGGGATCTATAGGGTGTAGAAATCCTACCACTAGTTTTTAAACTACCTAACCTATTGATCCGACAACTTATATTAGAGGAGTTTTGATTAGGGGAGTTGGTCCAGGTGCCTCTGTCACTTTATCGCTTGGCCCTCAGACCACAACTTGCACCAATTCTGGGCTCATACAAGCCATGATCCTTGTCACCACCTGCGGCTGGTACCACCATTTAAGCTCTGCACCAGATTGGGATAGCCCAAGCTAGGGTTCCAACCACCATTGAAGAGTGTCGTGTGGGTTTGTTAAGATGGAGTACAGTCCAATCTGTACATCCAAATGTGTTGTTGTGTTAGGAGCTGATAAAGGTTAGTTAAGATGAAGTACAGCCCAGTCTGTATATCCAAATATATGGTGACTTCTTTTCATTAGACAATCATCATAGCACCAACCGGACGATCGTCACACCATTACACCTTAATGGGGGAGATCACAATCCCAATGCCTGCAGAATCAGCATGTGAAATGGCTTCTTATGAGAAATGGCACATAATTGGTCATGGCGCCAGATACCATATTAATCTATTTAATCGCCTTCACATGGAATTGAACTGGTATCTTGTGATCTGACCTGCGGAGCACTAACCACTGTGCTATAGATCCACAGATCTATATTTAATTCAGAATTATATTGTTGATCAAATTTTTTTTTATAGTAATATAAACACATATATAATCTACTATATTGATATAT